CGCTTGCACCCAAGGCTTTCCTACCGGTGACCCGGAGATGGAACAGCTCAAGGGAGTTTCCATGGCGGCAGCACGTTCAATCTCTGACGCGCGTTGAGTCCACCCGATCTCGCGGTCTCTGTGTAAGCTTGCGTTGAGGTTACGACTCGTTACGAATCATATTTCATCATGCTCGCTGCAGGTCGGAATCGATCGGCATGCGTCGAGAAGACGTAGAGTCTCCGCAGAAATCCAGGGTATCGCGGCACGGCTTGTTAGACCGCAACTAACTAAGCCAACAGAATGCAGAGCGTTCTTAATAAACGACCAGTGCTGATTGATGTTATCGGGTGGGGTTGGTTCTAGCCTTTCAGCTGGCGCGTTCTGAAAGACTGTTAGGCGTGCTGGTTTAGACAGTTTATCACAGTCTAACCGTCGTTGTGTCGTACGTTTGAAACGCCCACCGAAGCACATGGACAACTCGGCGCATGTTAATGCGGGATCAGATTCGGGGTGAGTGCTCCAGTACGATCGGCAGTCTCAGATGCAGCCCCGTTAATTGTGGCTTATCGCGATGTGGTCGATCTGCGTCTGTTGTTGACTCGAGGAGGGTGGGCGCCAAGTGGCGTACCGACACTTGGAGCGTCTGAAGTTCATACTGGTGAGAATTAGGTGGTGGTCGGAATATAGAGCCGACAGCCGTTCCCCGTTTTCCGAGCGACGAGAATCTGGCCCCAAAGGACCTCCCAGGTGCACCTCACTCGAGATCAACCGGCCTGCTCTAGCATTCACATCTACCGCTAAAATCGCAATATCAGCCCAGGTCGCTTTAAGCAAGAAGTCGTGTAGATTATGGTAAAATTCATCTTTGACGGCATCTGGGCTGCAGTCCGTTGGAGCATACACCGATACAACAAGTTGCGTCCATCGGGGCGACGGCTGCTTATTTTGCATGAATCTCTGAGTCTCACTGCGCACAACCAATCCGGACAGCTGCATACACTAAACCTACAACGAAAAACCGAATATCACGGAGATGACACAGGCTGACCAAGAATAATCGGGTCTTGTGTGCGCGTGGGCACTTCAGCCGCAATGCCCAGTCTCTAAATGAATGACTAATTCAGACGATACAGTTGAAAATGGCAGGACAGAAATGCAGATCTGGGGGGGGGGCGGTGGGAGGGGTCGGAGGAGTAATCGCGTTCTTTATATGGAACATATTGCTGAACAAGCAACTTGCGATAGGCACTGTGCGCAGGGCAAGCTAGCAATCAGTAGTGGAAACTATCTGGGCGAAGCCTGAGGGGAAAAGACTAGATAGATCACAACTGGTTTTGTTCACGCATCGTTATGATTGAATGATGACAATACCCTCAAATAGAAGTGTTATAAAATGTACTATTGATGCGGTCCATGATCCAAGATTACGTTCAACGTTAAATGCTACTAGAAACAGCGTTTGTCTCATAAAAATGTAGAATCAATAATTCGCAAAAAATTCAATGAGTCAAAGGTCAAAAATCACCTTCTTTGTGCAAACTGCGAACAAAATCGTGAGCAGCTCTCAACGCTCCTTGTAATGCGAGCGCTAGACGATCGACCGTTAGGGCATCCATCGAGAGCCAACTCCGACGAAGTCGATCCATCGGATTGTGAATTTCTGGAGTGTGAGTGTCATTTGATGCATCGGATATTACAGCACCAGCAACGGCGGCTCCCACAGGAACTGGAGTTCCTAAAGAGGCGCACGTTGTGTCGGCCACACCAAAGACCCGGAGAAGTCGCAATGCAAAGCACGCCGCATCGTATACTTCATCACATACTACTGATAACGGGAGCTCGGTGCCAGCTTGGCGTAGGGCGTACTGATCAGCGACACTGAGGAAATCTTTGAGGACATTCATTGCGCGCCGTGTGTCACATGAATCTAAGCATAGAATAATCGAAGATAAAGATCATTTCTGATTCAGGAATGATGATTGAGAAATCATTGTTTGTAACGTGAGCGAAAATTGACGGGATACTTGTTTAGTAAAAGAAAAGCTTGTAGGTGATGAAATAGAAGCCATGGGAATGATTTTCAGCTACAACTGAAGTGATTCATTACAATATGGTAAGTTTTCAGAATGTATTCTTCTTTATTGGCGAAAGCTACTTCATCAACAGTAATTATCACCCAACTATTTATGATGTACACGGTTGAATAAGGCGTACAAAAAAATTAATTTATATCGAGAGGTATATTATCATACAAAATGGAATAAAAAAAGGAATTATGGGCACCGCACCAAAAAGCGTGAAAATATAACAGGAATGATATGTGGCTGCGTGAAAATCGCTGGAATTAAAATACGACTGAGGACTGTTATTTGATTTAGACCATGGGTGAGAGAACCGATATAGGGAACACGAGTATTGGGTTTCTAAGTGAATATGTGACTTAGGTGGGAGAATTAAAGGACAATGATATCACATTCGTTGAGACCATGAATAGAGGTAGCGAAACTAAGGGCCAGAAGCGATCAGCGAATGCTGACTGAGGAAAATTCTCAAAAGACAGAACAAATAAAGTTTTAAAGACAAAATGGATGTGTGAAAACATGAGAGCAATAAATGTCACTTCTAGATGCGGAGTGTATTTTAAACAACTAAGGTGTGCATCAAGCAAAATGGCATTCATCAATTTCTGACCAGGTTTATCACAATTTTATGATTGATTAGCACAATAACAAAAGACTAGTGTTGTTTGTTTTTTGAACCCACTCTGTATCAAACTGAGATTAATAAAATCAGTATCATACCATGCTGTATCCCACATGCGCCTAAGCCTGGGCTGTGCGCTAGACTGATCATGGTATAACAAGCTTCATAACAAAGAAACCAAGCACGATATATGCTCACGAATGGAATACTGCCAACCGGTGTCTTTGGCTAAGCGAAGCCTGACCGACAATGAAGCAGGATAGTGTATGACGCCGTTCGGTTGTATTATTCAATTATTTTGATAGGCTTTACCCGCAACAACATTACAAATTACATCGAATTACAGAGTCGTACAGAGTTTAGAAGTCGCGTGATTACATCAACTGCGAAAGTAAAAAAAAAACTTTGTGAGTTCAGTCTATTCTTGGCTTGATGCTCTGCAGTCTTCTATATTAAGGCTCGTGAGGTACAGAAATAAGCCAGGTCTGATCACACAGTTGAAACGATGTCCACTAATATATCACAACTGAAATCAGATCAGTGAAGAAGTGAGTAATAATGAAAAGTTGAATTTGATTGTCATAAAAACGCCAACACATACCGCATAATGCATCATAAACATCTTGTTGTGCCTTGAATAAAACAGAACTCAGGGGTCGATCGTTAACCAGTACTCCATTCGGAGACGAATTGTCTGAGACAGCCGCCAGCAAATGTAGACTGGTTGCGTTGAAAAGGAAATCCTATGGAGATAGAAAACAGGAGCAGAAATACAAGAATGAATGTCCATTAAATCTGAGGTATCCGGTGAAAACAACACTGTGGCATGATGGTACATCCCGAACCCAACCATTTTGCCCATTTGACTGTCAGACAGTATTGCTATCTTCTACCACAATTTGTACGAGTTGTTACAAAACGCGCAGTGCAGTTTCGCAGTCATGGTGCCAATGCGGTTCTGGAAAGCTAGTAAAACGAAAATGATGAGCAACATACAATACAGCATCGAAATCAGATTTGCCATATTCAAATATTGAAATGGCGTTCGTGCAAATTCATTAATGAAGTCAAAAAGCTGTTTAAGATTTTTTTTAAATCGTCCTTTTAATTTTAATTCATTAATACTATTTTACTGAATCCTACTTGATGTTTCATTCAGTTAAAGATTTCATAAATGAGTTGAATAGTCCCACAGTGATGAAACGTTGATGAGCTCATTAGAAATTATATCCAGATAAATATTTTCATTGCGTAGAATCTCGTCAACCACAAGCATATAAAAACTACATAAGTGAACAGAATGCCGAGATTTACTGCTTTGAAGTAATCTACACATCCCGTAGTGAAACGTAATTGAAAAGCAATTGAAAAACATGCGCGACACAATGGATGGGTATGACATGTTACTTGATGAATCGAACCAACGTGTGCAAAATGTGCAACAATGGAAAGATGACCGTAAATCAACCGATCCATATAGTTCAAATAACATGACGATTGGAGATAGAGCACCCACAGGTTAAGCGAAAACGTCCACGACCTAACTGTTGGAAAACAATGAATCATGTGGATTATAGTGTGAGAAGGAAATCCTGATCAAATTGTTTGTAAAATGTCTACTACGATGTTGACAAAACGAATTACATTAATTCGTATATTACGATTCAGAATCTGCCGCCATGAATTCAGATTTACCCTCCAGCTAGCGAGATGACTATGAAACGACATTATTCATGGTACACCTCATAAACTATTTCACACTCGACCGGCTGATCTGTAATTATTTCATAGGATTCTTAGAATGCATATTATCTTAATTAGACTATGGAGGTTATAGGCGTCAAGATTAAGTGTCGAGGAAAACGGTTGCTATTGAAAACTGCAGTAACGAAAGGACCCTTAAAAAACACGTAGACTGCACGGGGCAAAAAAACCATAGATAGCATCAGTGTGACTTTATTATCACTTGAATTTGGCTTTTATCGTTAGCTCCTTCAATATATCAACGATTCAAGTGAAGTGACGGCGCATATCCGTTCAGCCAAGGTGAACGCCATGCGGTAAGCTACGTCTAGGCATCGAACTAAACTGATAGTGTACCAATGTTGAATACTTGCGTCAAATACAATCAACGCGAACACATGACAACTAAATTTCAATGCAACGTTTATTACTGGGTTAGACAGGATAAAGGAGTTTAATGAGTGTAAGTTATCAAGTCTTTCAGCCTATGGGGGGGGGCATGTGAGCAAGTAAGATGAGACGAATTTGGTTCTTTATGGTGTTTCTGTTCTGCTAAAAAAGATTATGAGGACTCAACCTGAGTACGTTTGGCGTCAAGTGGACGCGGACGACATCCACGATGGATATGAGTTCTCCAGGTAGTGTTACAATAAACACCGTGCATATATAACCCACTGAGCTAAAGCAATTTGATTCAAAACGACTTAAATATCTATGGAACCGTGAACCTAACGATAACGATCGTAGAGAATGGTCACTCACAGTCAAGGTCTTCTCATAACTAATGGCTTCCGCGACTGTGTCTGGACTGTAATCCATTGTGTCTCGCCAGGAATGTAGAAGAAAAGTAAGACGAAGACGCCTTGCAGAATGTTCCTTCAGGGCATCACGAATAGTGATGAAGTTCTTCAGTGACTTCGACATTTTACAACCAGATATCGTCAAATGCCCCGAATGCAAAAAATATTGAACCCAATGAGAATGCCCGAAGCACGCCTGATAGAACGAGAGAATGGGAAATCAGGAGTAAAAACAGGACAGAGTGAATTATATTTGGCAAGACTAACTGGAAAAGACTGGATTCGTATGAAGTTCACAACGCTAATTAACATCAGAGGTTTTCAGGTAAAGTAAAACTAATGGGACCGCATGTATGAAAATATTACAAAAAATATTGCTTTTTACAGCAATGTTACATTCTTGCAGTTTAACCAGAAACTTACTAACAGAAGAATCAACAAATCACACAACAATAGCAAATTTCGTTTAGAAAACTGTAATTTAACGCATTATCCGCTTATCATTCAAACGCTTCACATGCGCTAGCCACATGATTCTATCCATTGCGAGTAGAAAAAGTAGTAAAATCTATCCACGGATATGCGCGAGTTTTGGTTTACTTCATTGGGAGTAATTTTGTCAATTATGAGCAGTAGCGATGAATTGAAAGTATTGTGCAGGGGAATTACTGTGTAAAAATAAGTTATCTCCTAATCCAGACAATGGATCTAACAGGAGTCCGGTGACATGGGAGGAAACTGAAGAAATAGTAACCGGCGAACCGAAACAGAAAATTGACTTGAGCCCCACAAGTTGAATTGCATTCCACTGTTATAAAATAGCGAGCAAAATCAGCTGGATGGTGTACCTTGTACGACTGAATATTGCCATGAATGGAAATCGTCAGGGTGAATATTACAGAACGTTACCTGTGAATGCTGTGCCACTACCATTAAAATACACATAAAAATATCAAGAAACAATGCGCAAAACAAAAGTACACCGTCTTTGTAAATCGCTATTATAATTTTTGATCGGAGGTTTTTAACTAGCGTTTAGTCACTATGGTCACATCAGTGGTAACAAGCTGTTGATCGGATATTGAAAATTCGTGGCAAAGGCATTAATGAAACTTAGAATAAAACATATAAACCCACCTCGGACTGAGCTAGTTCATTATCATGATGCGGGAACTTAAGATCCACACCACCAGAATGGATGTCCATGGAGTCACCAAAAACACAACTCGCCATTACCGAACACTCTATGTGCCAACCCGGTCTTCCTTGACCCCATGGGCTGGGCCAAGCTGGTTCGCCTGGCTTAGAAGCCTTCCACAAGGCAAAATCGTTTTGCGACCGCTTCTCTCCATCCGAGGACAGCTCTCCCTCACCAGTGGCTAACTGATCGATATCCCCATATGCAGTTGGGACGAGCTTGGCATAAAAGTGTTTCGGGTCACTGGCAAAGCGATTGGTGTCGAAGTAAACTGACCCAGAAGGAGCCACGTACCTGAGTGAGTAAAATGAAGACAGATTTCAGGGCAACAGTACTAACTGGAACCTAAAAAGGTGGAAACAAAAGAATGGGCTAATCAAAGCTTGATACTCTAAGTATTGATTGAGCCATTCACACAAGGTGATGACCGTCGACCATGTGGCTCATGGGTAGGGGTTTGAAGTCCTAACCCAAAAGTTCGCGGCTTGAGTCATGACGGGAACACAAAAAGTACGCACTGCTGACGAGTCCCAAACAGGACGAAAAAGCAGTCCAGTGCTCTTACTAAGACGGAGAAGATTGCGACTATTACCAATAGTCGCAGCCTTCTCCATCTCTTTACACTTTTCTATCTACCACTTCTTGCGGTCATTCCTCAAACTCTTGATGAACTGGCGTTTGAGGGATTTGCGCGCTGTGCCATATGTGGCATCGGGAGGGAGGGTTCTGCGAGCTTCCAGCAGGGCAATCGAGGTGGACGATATCCATCGTTTGTGTTTTGAGCTTGTGGCAGGGTCCGACGTTGTTTTTATCGACATTTGCATAGCTTCCTTGATTTGCCTCCAGTGTTTATTAAGTCCTTCGGCTGGTGATTGAGCTGATAGGCGATCGGAGAGTTCCGCTTCAAAGGCCGATTTGCAGCAATCACTGACGCTGTATTATGGGTATCCGCTGTTGGTGGCTTTCTTGCGATTGTTTCCCAGGCGTGAGGAGAATTTGGCTTGTAGCAAAGCGTGATTTGTATCCACAGATGTGGACCAGTAAGAACACCAGTCTTGAATCGACCCCTTCCAGCGGTAACTGGTGGCGATATGGTCGATCTGGGTCCAGCGCAGTGAAGAGAATGGTGGTTTCTATGTAAGTTGGTGTCGTTTCTTGTGCGAAAATTTCGTGTTTGACAGGAACAATCCGTGGTCCGCGCAGAGTTGAAGTAGGCAGTCTCCGTTGTCCGTTCGGTTGGCTGGGGCTGCATACGGTCCGCCAAGAAGCCTTTCTGGTTCGTCCGGAGATCCCTTTTGAGCACTGAAGTCCCCGGCGACTACTACGACATCCGTTGACCATTGACTTTGAAGCAGTTGAGGGAGATCCTTGTCGAATTCATCCTCCATTTCTGGTGTACTGCAATCGATCGGTGCATACACCGATACGACGAATAAGCACTGACGCTTCTTTCTGTACATGCTGACCCGTGCTGAGCCGTTGAGAGGTATAGCGCACAGTCAGCTACTGACTGAAATCCAGTCAAGAAGCGAGCGCTCAGCCTTGGCACTTAGCGCAATCCCAACACCAACAACACCGCGAGCTTCGGATACCGAATCACCTGACACACGGAGGGTGAAGCATGAGGTTGGATTAGGAGAACGCAGGGAACTGATTGAAGTAGGGTCTTGTATGCGCGTTTCGGAAACAGCATGCATCTAAATTGAAAGTTTCAAGGGTTCTAGCTAAGACAGCTTGTTGACCGATCTGATAGAGTGTGCGGACATTGAACGCGGCTAAGTGAAAAAAGAATTTCGGCTTCAAAAATCCTGTAACCTCTGATTGTTTGGACTTGTTGGTAAAACGCTGAGTTATATCCGATGGGTCTTGTAAACAGCAGATGTTGGGTATTATTCGGGATTGAGAGGAAGAACTAGACAGATGGGAAGGAGGGTTTTCCAAATGGGTGACTTAAGGGCACTGCATACTTCGCGGTTGCCCACACCGACGAAGGGGTTTTTCTTTGGGAACTCTAACCGGAGCCTTTGACTCAAAAGTCTGACCCACAAGGCAGTGGGGAGTAAATCTAACGCGGGAGCGTGAACGAAGCACCCGTGTGGGAGCTTGTAGAGGCCTGTCACGCAAGGCATTTGAATTTCGATTCATTGTGTTGTTCGCTGGTGCGTTGATTATCGGTCCGCTTTTCGGGATCGGCCCTTAGTTTCATGCACCCAATGAGACAAGCGGAACGTGGACGGAACAGCACCTTATTGACTGGGGGCTGCCCAGCTAGGGCGGGCGGTAGCTGTCCAATGAAGTGTGAAGACTTCTCCCACCATCAAGAGAAAGGCCCAGATACCATGCTCCTATGTCCATCTCGCGGGATTTTTTTTGACCGGTAACTGCTCCTCATCGTGTTTATTTGCTGGAGTGGCCCCCAGGGGTGGGTGTGGATGGATGAAGGAGACCAGGAGGTGCTCAAGCAACTGGCCTTGTGAAACTGAGCTTCGTCTGGCCTCTACCCGTTGACCTTTCAGATATGATTGGATCTACGGCTGTGAAAAGCTATCCTGTATAGCTCGCAGGGTTATGGAAGCACGCAAGCCACCACACCACGTCAAAGTGCAGTCTCTTCGTGATGGAGCTAGTGAAATGGAAGAAGCAGTTGCATCAGGGACTAGTCAACCACTGTTCCAACTGATACGCAACACGGGAGATCGGCGAACCACAGCTGGTGAAACAATGCACGACAAAAGTGAACAAGCTATTCACAATAGGGAACAACGGCCTGACCGGTGGTCGGAGTACTTCAACGAACAGTTACGCTGACCAGGGGCAGACCAAACTGAACCAAACTGAATTCCTGCTTAGTGGCTGGACACCCTAGCAGTACCTGTCCATCAAACCCCAATGCAAATGCATTGCGAGTTTGGCAGCAATCAGTGGAGTTCGCTTCCCTGTATTTCGCTGTACGATGATGATAATGAAACTGAATCGTCTGTTGCAGTTGAGGCTCCGTGGGCAGTATCATGTAAACCTCCTACTGAAGAAGTACAATCTTGCATTCAAGCCCTGGAGAAAGGAAAAGCACTACAACCGGACGGTCTTCTCAAGCTGGTGGGGGGGGGGTAGCGATGACCCGGAAAATTCTATTACTGATTTACTGTGTAACATTTGGTCACAAGGGCACAGTTCATCATCTGCGACTGAACTACCGATCGTTTCAATTTTGAAGAACAGATCTCGCAACGACTGCGCGAACCAGCGTGGAATATGTTTGATCCCAATCGTCAACAAGTTATTAGCCTCTGTCACACTTCGACATCTGACACCGTTCAGGCATACAAATATCCGCGAGCAACAAGCAGGATCGCGTAAGGGTCTACGGCGAGCCGAGTGAGTCGCTCGTAACTAACGGTGGTGTTCGTCAAGAATGCCCTACTTCGCCATTCCTGTTCAATTTCATCGTAGAAGAAATACTGGAGAACACTAAATGGTCTCAAAAATGTTGGTATTGAATTAGGTAAAGTAGGTGTTTGACGCCTTCCAGGTTGGGGTCTGAAAAGCTCTAACAGGATGGTTGGAGACACTGAAAGTCGTAGCAGGAAGCCGACAGCAGTGTCGTTCTTGTCTTTTCTAATCACGTCAGAATGCTTGAAAAAGTATATATGCACAGTTGGACTGTGTACTCTGTGTTGACCACTGAGGTTAGATTTCTTTGTCTCTCTCTAGTTACACACAAACCCTATCCATCGTTTAAGTTCCCACTCACTTCGTGTACATTGAGGGCTTGGCATGCATCCGCGAACTACACTGTATGTACGATGACGATGACAGTTGTGCTCTGAAATCACTTCTATTCCACTGTGTTTCGCCGCTAATGACCGCAGGGCGTCTGTCCTTAAAACCGAATAGTCGGTCTGCAGGCGGCTCTGCCGTCGCCCGGCTGACTACTCCGCCTGATCTATTGAAGCCTTATGTAGTCCGCCACTCCAAGTTTCAGGATCATGGTTGCCGGTTTTTCGTCACAACATAATCATGAATATACAAAATCAAGAACGCTCACGCACTCTTGTTTGCTCTGCGCACTCAGACTGTAAATACGCACTCATCACCCTCACCAGCATTCGCGGACTGAACCGCAATATTGCTTCTGTACACCATTTTCTCCACTCTTCTCCGCTCGCCCTTTTTTAGACCGAAACACACTTCTCCCCCTCGTCAGACACCACCCACCTTCAATTCCCTTACTATGCTCTCCATTCCTTTTGCAACCAACCTCAACTGCCATGTTACCATCTTGGGAGATTTTAACGTTCATAATCAAGACTGGTTAATACATTCATCTGCTACTTCTCCTTTGGGGCGCGAAGCCGAACACTTCGCCTCGGTCAACAATCTGAGCCAACTAGTTGACCTCCCCACACGTGTCCCTGATTGAGCTGGCGATCGTGCCCACACCCTCGGTCTAATTCTCACTTCGGTTCCTTCTTTCTTCTCAAGTATTCGTACCCTCCCTCCTCTTGGCTCATCAGATCACTGTGTTGTTTCTTGTGCTATTAGGTTTTCAAATTCCGAGCCATCACCCACCTCGAGACACATTCTGGCGCTACAACTCAGCCAACTGGAACGGTTTCCGTGATTTCCTAGCTGCTTATCTCTGTAACGACTATTGTTTCTCTTCGAACGTTTCCAAATTCGTTAGGAACTTCACCCACGTTGTTCTTCAAGGTATGCATCTTTTTATTCCACACTTTTCCAAACCCGGCAAACCCAAATCCCCTGCATGCGACCGTGCTGTACGCCTTAAACGTTCAGCCTTCCACCGCTGGCGCCGCTCGCCCACTCCTCTCTCCTACCATCGCTTCGTGCAAGCTAGGAACAGATGCTCGATGACCGTTCAGAGAACCAAAGAACGCTTCGTTCGCCGTAAAGCCGAAAACTTGGTCTCGTCCGTCACCGGTAGTCGAACATTTTGGTCCCTTGCCGCGGCGATTTCCCGTAATTTCTGCCCTTCCAACTTCCCCCCTATCTGTAATTCCTCTGGTGATCTTGCATGTCAACCACACGAGAAAGCTGGGGTTTTTGCTTCCCAGTTTGCCGCCAATTCCACTTTACCTCACTTTTCTACACCTCCACATTCTTCCCTCTTCACTGGCAACCCTTTTCTACCCCATATCAGCACTAGGAAAATCCGTCAGACATTGCGCTCTCTGAACGCAAACAAACCACCCGGTCCGGACGGTTTTCCACCCATCGTCCTAAAAGTGTATGCTCCCGAGCTGGCTCCTGTTTCACGTCGTCTTTTCTGTCTTTCCCTCCAACTTTCTTCCTTCCCAAACACCTGGAAGCACGCCGTGATTTTTCTCATTCCCAAACGCGGCTATCTTTCTAACCCCAACAACTATCGACCCATTTCCCTCACATCTGCTCTTTCGAAAGTATTCGAAACTATCATTTCTGACCAGCTACGCACGTTCCTTGAACGCGAAGGACTACTGAACGACCGCCAGTATGG